CCCTTTACGGAAGAAGTTTGTGACCCTGAAAAATGGATTGGTCTGAATTGTCAGGACAGCTTCAGAATCCTGAATGTGACAGAATAGGAGAGAAGAGTATAAAAAGAAGTTTGCACAGATTTCAAAATTTTACCCTAGGCTGTTTGTGGCAGGAGATACAAATGTTTTTATTTTCTGTTTTCGTTCAATCCTGCCCAGTCAAATCAGCAAGATTTATGGTTTTAAATAACAACCAGTGGTTGTTATTTTAATCTCTGAACTTGTGAGTATTTTAATAGTTTTTCTCACTGGCAGTTGTTAAACTACTCTAAACCACATATGCCAGTTTTTAAGTAAATCTAAGGTATTAGAATAAATCTTTTAACAAGTATGAAGGTCTTAGTTGTAGCATTACAATCACTAGCATGTAGCTTTTTTTTTCAGTAGGAGGCCCCACCTGATGATTTAACTGTAAAATGTGAGTACATACAGTATATTAGACCTATCTAACCTGTTACATATAATCACAGGTAGTTTTCTTTAATTTTACTCAAATAGGACTTGCCAAGATTAAACCCTACAGATCTGTTCAAACTTGAAGGAAATGAAATTCTACCTTTTGTATAATTCTAAGGATTTTTTTGGTTCTGTACTGTAACATTTCATTTATACATTGTCTTCAGGGTATGCATTCCTTTCTAATAGGAATGTCTAATGGTTGAATTTTAATTGTTCTTGTAAGTACTTTCTGCCTTCTGTGAATGAAGTAGTTAAGCTTTTTAAAGTCTCTGTATTTTTTGTTAGTTTGGTTAAAGCAGAAATGACAGCAGTTATTAATAATGTTTGTAATATTGGAGTGATCTTTACTATTTCAGTGTCGTTAATCATTACACATATTTAGCTGCATTGTCTTGACAGTGAACATAGATTTTGCAGACGAGAGTACACTATGACTACTCTGGATCTGTAATGCCAAATAGTTTTCTTTCAAGGCTGTAGAGAAGGTAAAGATGTATAGAAGAGTTAAATGCTTTCATAATATTTACTGTTATTGAATAAAAGCCTCTTTGTTGATGTATTATATTGTATAAAAATATGGTGAATAGAAGCTATAGCTATTTATTGTATGACTCTAGAGGAAGAGTTTTACTGCCACCTTTTATAAAAGGAAACAAGACATCTAAAACATGTTATTTGCTCTTAAGAAATTTAAAGTACAGTTAATTGGGTTACAACTCCTCTGAGACCCGCAAGCTTATTCACTGTATCATTTAATGGGAAAGGAGAAATTCGATATTTGCTTAATAGCAATCATAAAGTATCTACATGATATTCACATCTTAAAATCTGACAAGTTTTTAAGTTTTTGATTTGAGATTATATGGATTTCTTAATGGGAAAGGGAGGGGGAGCTGATGCCTCAGTTTCCCCTTCTTTCAGTTGCTGACTCAAAGAGCACTGATTTCACTGCCTGTATCAGGCCTGATGCCTGGCTCTGAGCACAAGCTCTGTAAGTGCTTGGATTACATAGCAAGGCTGTGATGCAGTCAGGGGCCACTTTTGAGTGTGTGAACAGTCTCATCACTGTTTAAAACTTGAACAAATTCAATTAGTGGGTGCCAATTCTGGGCCCTAGAGATATAGAAAAGAATAAAATAGTCTCTATTTTTCAAGGACTTAACAGTCTAACTGGGGAGATAGGATAAGTAAATATTATTGGATGTGGACAAGTTATTCCAGTCTTATGAACAGAGCTCCAGGGTGACATAGAGGGAGCCTGTTTGTCTGGAAAAGTGGAGGAGTTTCACCAGGTCTGTGAGTTTTCCAAAGGTTTAAAAGGAGACGCAGGCCGGGCGCAGTGGCTCACGCCTGTAATCCCAGCACTTTGGGAGGCCGAGGCGGGCGGATCACGAGGTCAGGAGATTCAGACCAGCCTGGCCGACATGGTGAAACTCTGTCTCTACTAAAATATAAAAAAATTAGCCGGGCGTGGTGGCATGCACTTGTAGTCCCAGCTACTTGGGAGGCTGAGGCAGAATAATCGCTTGAACCCGGGAGGTGAAAGTTGCAGTGAGCTGAGATCATGCCACTGCACTCCAGCCTGGGCAACAGAGCAAGACTCCATCTCAAAAAAAAAAAAAAAAGGAGATGCAGATTTCTCCCAGGCAGAGGATTGGGAGATTTGGAGAGGACTTTCTTCTGGTGGTGGGATATATTTGAGCAAAGACAGAAGATTGGCGAAATCGAGAGTTTTTAGGAATCCATGGTGTACAACCTGGGGAGAACATATGACAGTGATCACAGCCCCACATTATTTTTTCTTTATACCGCAAATGCGAATTATTGTGTGCCAAATAGATGCTGTCATGATTACCCTTTAGTCGCTATTAATAGTTATTTGGATTTCAGGAATCTTTTGGTTGGCCTTAGCTCAGTTAAATGCTTTTCATTTCGTTAAAATTATTATAAATGCATGGTGCATATATAACAAATTAACATGTAGCATTGAGAATTATTGACAACATAGTTTATGAACTTAATATTTATTCTGTGGTCGGGATATCATTTTTCACGTTTTCTTTAAGAATATTGCTTTTCTTCTGTCTTGTTTAGTCTGTACCATAGTTTGATTCCAAAGCTTTTGCTGTGCTAGATACCGATTTTGAGTAAAACAGATGTTAAGATTGCAAGGAATGACTTCAGGGAAGATCATTCACGGGGGGAAGATGGTTCCCATGTGAGAGGCAGACAGCAAAGGATCAGGTGGAAGAAATAATTCTCGCTGCTTTCTTACAGCTCTAAATACACATACTTAGTCATCTTAGTAGGAAAACAGAGGCGTCATTGAAGCTTATTCAAGTTGCAGTGCTCTACTTTTATTTGACTGTAATATTAAATAATAAATGGCTTCAAAACTTCATGCAGATGGGGCAGATAGAGGTGATTAGATTTGTTCTTTGTCCTAGAAATTGTGATCAGCCTTAGCATTCTTCATAGTGTTTTAAACTCCTGGGTATTTTCTTAGCTTATTAGTGTCTACAATATATTTGGTACTCCTTAAAGTTACCTTAAGAGTGTTAGTGAATCTGCTGGGTGTGGTGGCTCACACCTGTAACCCCAGCACTTTGGGAGGCCGAGGTAGGCAGATCACGAGATCAGGAGTTCGAGACCAGCCTGGTCAATATGGTGAAACCCTGTCTCTACTAAAAATACAAAAATCAGCCGGGCGTGGTGGCATGTGCCTATAGTCCCAGCTACTCGGCAGGCTGAGGCAGAAGAATCACTTGAACCCGGGAGGCGGAGGTTGCAGTGAGCTGAGATTGGGCCAGTGCAACTCCAGCCTGGGCGACAGAGCAAAACTCCATCTCAAAAACAAACAAACAAATATTGTTAGTGAATATTCTTCTTATGGCAATGTTGTCACTAAAAATGGCTTATATACTTGTTTCATACAGTTTATTGAGGCAGGATTAGTGCTGTACCCTTGAATTTTCATTTTTTAATTTGGTCACTCAGTTGCTGAGACACTGAGTCAGAGTTTCATTATCTACACTCAGAGGGCTGACTGGGGGAGACATAGACAAATTATTTTATGTGCAGTTTCCCAGTTTTTAATTAGTTTATACTCTGCTTCTTTCCAAAACCAAATTTGAGATGCCTTAAAAAATAAATATGAGAAAAAGATCAGGGGAGAAATTACAGAGAGTGGAAAAGCCAGATAGAAAAAGTAAGGATTCATATTGTTTGGGTCATAAATTTGACTCCAGACTTAAGAAAGGCCCCAACAGAGAGAAACCATAATAAATAATGTGAGTTCTATTGTCTGTTCGTAAGATAAAAACACACATCGCTTGGTGTATAAGAAGCTGTGGTACTGAAGTTCAAGGAGAGAAGTGTTTCCTGTGGCCCCAGGAAAGGGGCCTCCATAGGTGTCTTCTGCAGCAGCTGAGCAGCTCCATATCCTGGGCAGCTCAGTGTCTGGAGTTCTGAATGAACATGTGGCTCCCTGCTGGTCTGGCTCAATCCAAGGGTGGAAAGTAGGGCACTGTGAATCTACAGTGAGAGCAAAAGGAGGAAATTCATATGGTCTGAATCATTTGGCATTTATAGAATCTCTTAAATTGTTCAATGTGGCAACTTTACTTCTAACATTAAAAGAGATGTGCTGTTTCTTTAGGGGATTTATGGAATGAGGAAGTTGGCTTGCATTTAGGTGCCATGTTGCACAAAAAATTCTTATCTTCAGAGCTCTGGAATGATGGCCAGTGCAGACAGTACTCCTGGCATGAGAAGCACGCAGAGACTGAGATGCCCAGAGGGAACAGCCACAGGTTCATCTTTCTCCCTGGGCATACATTCTTGGTGGAAGAACGGGCACACTTTACATTCTCCCTCCCTCCTCTCCCATCTGTGTAGTTGACTGTGTAGAAGTTTGGTGTGTATGTTGTCAGCCTCACTGTGTCTACAGAGTAGATAGTATCCTTGTCCTACAGGAATATTGTTTCTTATAACTGAACTTGGGTACATATTGGGTGACAGAGGACCGGACTATATTCTCTGTCTGGAACATTAAATAAAGATACTGTGTTCTTCTGATTAAGGGCAAATCCATTAGCATGAATAGTCCCTGGAACTGGGATTTGGGTTGTCATGGGTAATGGAAGTCCTTAGGCCAGAGTGCTTCAGTTGGCTTTGTGGTTCTGCCAGTCTTTGGCTGACTGATTTGGGCAAGTTACCATCTCTACTTCACTTACCTTATCTGTACATGGAGAGGACAGTGTTGGCTTCATAAGGCTATTGCAAAGACTGAGATAATACATGAAAAGGGACAAGAACAGTGTCTGCTGCATAGTAAGTGCTCAACATGTGTAGCTCTTTTATTTGGTGTTGTAAATTAAGGAGCTAGAACAGATAAGCCTAGCCTACCTCCCCACAATGGTAGATAAAAACAGTTTTCTGAACAGGACATTTGGAAATCATAATCTTTTTTTCTGGTTTGTGATAATTTTATCCTTTTTCAGAGAAACAGCACCCAGGACTATCTTCCAAAGAGTTCTGGATATCCTAAAGAAATCCTCTCATGCCGTTGAGCTTGCCTGCAGAGATCCATCCCAAGTGGAAAACCTGGCTTCCAGTCTGCAGTTAATAACAGAATGCTTCAGGTGTCTTCGCAATGCTTGCATAGAGTGTTCTGTGAACCAGAATTCAATCAGGTAGTTACACATGTACCTTGGATTCTGTTTCTTTGTATATGTGCATGCTGGTTCTGTCATTTGGTTTATCTGTTAGAAGTTGTTTTGGGCTGGGCGAGGTGGCTCATGCCTATAATCCCAGCAATTTGGGAGGCTGAGGCAGGAGGATTGCTTGAGTCCAGGAGTTCAAGACCAGCCTGGGCAACATGGCGAGACCCTGTCTCTACAAATAAATACAAAAAGTTAGCTGGACATGATCGTGAGCACCTGTAATCCCAGCTACTCAGGAGGCTGAGGTGGGAGGATTGCTTGGGCCGGGGAGAGGCAGAGGTTGCAGTAAGCTGAGATGATGCCGTTGCTCCAGACTGGGCCACGTTGTGAGACCCTGTCGCAGGAAAAAAAAAAATTGGCATGGTAGTATCACCCACTTTTACTGCAGGATTGCCCTTTACATCTGCGGGGAGAGGCCCTCTATAGGCCTTGCCATTGGAGTCTCTCTGACTAGTGTATAAAATAATAGAATGTGTTTAACATCAGGGGTTAGATTTCTTGTTTGTTTTTATCACATGTTTTGAGGTATTTGGTTCTTCATAGTGTTTTGAAGCTGATTTTGAGTCTTTGTTCCTAGATTTTACCTGCGTAAGTTTATATGTAGTTTTTGACCTTGGGTTGTAAATGTTTTAATTACTTTTAATTATGTTAATTTTGTGTTTGAACAAGAAGCATATTTTGTAAATTTACAAGATGACCTGTCTTTCCTAAAGATCGTGTAAAGTTCCAAGCTCTGTTTCCACCTATTTTATGATGTGCACATTTTTAAAAGTAGTTAAAACATGAGCAGGTGAGCTGTCCAGTGCTCTTTGCTTTTACATGTTACTGTCTCCTCCCGGAACCCAGCATCTTTCTTCTTTGATTTTGTGGAACTTGCTTTTTATTAAAAATTTTTACTTGAAGTCAGAAGCCACAAACAGGATGCTCACTTTCTTTCCTGGACTTGGATGTAGACAGAGCCTCCAGGCTTCCCTGTCACCGCTGTGACGGGTGAGCTTGGGCTGGTCCAGAAGCCATTTGAGGGACTCCCTTCGGTTAGACACATATACCCGAGGCTTTGATATGATTAATGAGATTTTTAAGATCAAAAGAGAGAGGGTAAAAAGTAAGTCGTGTAACTTCAATACTAAACCAAACCTGCCATCCATTTGCAGATAAGTGGATAGAAACAATAATAATCTTGATAATAACAGTCAGCATTCTAAAACGTAACTAGTTATATGCTAGAAGCATCTGGCCAGAAGGCTAGTTTCTTTTGTCCTTTTCCAGTTAGGAGGTGCTCTAGTGTGATGGGGAAGGAAAGGAGAGCCTTAGAACTGACTTTTGACTGTGGCTGGCAGATACACTTTGTGCTTGGCTAACCTTGGTGGGGAAGGGAGCGAGCATTTGTTGAGCCTGCCTTCAGCGTTGGGCTTTGTCCCAAGTGCTTTGCTTGTAGTATCTTCTTTAATTCTTAGAACAAACTCAAGAAATTTTTCCATTTTTACAAAATAAGAAACTGTAACTTGGAGAGGGTAAATAACTTGTCTGAGAGTCACTCGTTAAGTGAGAGAGGCTGGGAACATTCTCTCCATATCCAGACATCTGACTGTAAAGCTTAAGCTCAAAAGCAGTCTGCCCTTACACTCAAAAGCAGTTTGGGCTGGGCGCAGTGGCTCATGCCTGTAATCCCAGCACTTTGGGAGGCTGAGGTGGGCAGATCACCTGAAGTCAGGAGTTCGAGACCAGCCTGGCCAGCATGGTGAAACTCCGTCTCTACTAAAAATAAAAAATTAGCTGGGTGTGGTGGCACACATCTGTAGTCCCAGCTACTCTGGAGGCTGAGGCAGGAGAATTGCTTGAACCAGGAAAGTGGAGGTTGCAGTGAGCCAAGATTGTACCACTGCACTTCAGCCTGGGCAACAGAGTGAGACTCTGTCTCAAAAAAAAAAAAAAAAAAAAATGCAATCTACCCTTGCTGTCCTGAGCCTTACACACTGGTCCTGTTGTGGCTGACTGCTCTGTCCTGACCCTGGACAGGTGACTTGGTCTTCCTGAGTATCAGTTTTCTCCTCTGTAAAACTGGGTAAGCAGTGTCTTCCAGACAGGCTGGTTATGGGGGGTAAATGAGATTACTTATGTAAATGCCTAATGCAGATTGCATGCTCAGTAAACTTTAAATGTTTCTTCCTCTGCCTCAGGAACGAATGTACAAGTTTATGTTAATACTTTCTTTCAAAGCAGTCAATTTTTATTTTCTTTTTTGAGTAATATATGCAAACTATAAAAATTCAAACATTACAAAAATAAATACTATGACAAGTAAGTTATCGGTGGTCTTTTGGTAGGGCCAGCAAAGCAAGGGCTGTGCTGTTTGTGATAAGATCTTTTTATTGCATGCAACTTATGGTTGGGCTGAAATGAAAAGGAACATTTAAGGGTGTTAATTTTTCTGCCTCTTCCCTTCTCCGATTGTGTTATTATTCACTGTTGATTTTTAAAGGAAAATTTCAACCATTTAGGGCAGCAATTTTCAGAAAAGAATTTTCTAGTTAGAAATACAACAAAGAGTCTAGTAAAGACTGTGGCCAAGCTTAACTAAGGCCAGTATTTCTGAGCCAGTCAAGATGCAGATTGCAACTAGTACATATTTTTCTGATGTTTTATTTTTAAGTCGCTAAAGAAAGAGTTAATCAAAAGGTGTGATGCTATTAAGGCCTAGATCTTTTTACATCTTTTGCACTTTGTGTGGACTGGGACTGCTTTTGCCAAGAATGCATGGAATGGGGTATAATACAATAAAGCAAAGAATCTGAGTCATGGGAAACTTCAGGAAGTGCTCAAAGAAAACTGTTGAAAGCAGTTGGCTCTGCATATAAATATAACCCCTACTGCTAGGGTTGCTATACTTTTCCTGTAAAGAGCCAGATAATAAATTTAGGCTTTGTAATCTCTGTCAGATTTCTCAGCTCTCCCATTATAGTGCAAAAACAGCCATAGACAATATATGAATGAATGAACATGTCTAATTTTGTCCTTTTTTAAAAACCTGATACAGGAACTTGGATACAATTGGTGTTGCTGTTGATTTGATTCTTCTGTTTCGTGAACTGCGAGTGGAACAGGAAGCTCTGTTGACAGGTAGCATGCAATATAATTTATGGGTTATTTATATCTTTATAAAGGGTTCAAAACCAGTACTTTGAGTATTAACATCATTCATTGAAACGCATGTTCTGTATTTCATGAGATAGGGAAACTTTAATAGTGAAATATTAAATAATTATAAAGTTGTAGCAACTTCCCTTCCTGAATGGCTGAATTTTGTTCCTTTCACATTTGTATGTTGAAGTCTGTCTGTTCCAGTTGCTGTAACAAAATGCCTTAGGCTGGGTAGTTTTTAAACAACAGAAATGTATTGCTTACAGTTCTGGAGGCTGGAAAGTCCAAGATTAAGCAGACTGGGTGTTTTGCGAGGGCTGCTCTTGTCTTCGTAGATGGTGCCTCTTGCTTTGTTCTCCTATGGTGGAAGGTGGAAGGCAGAAGGCGCAAACAAGCTCCCTGGGCCCCTTTTATAAGGGCACTAATCCCATTCACAAGGGCTCCACCATCATGACCTGGTCACTTCCCAAAGGCTCCATCTTACACTGGCATGTTGGGGATTAGATTTCAGCATAGGAATTTTGGAGGGGCACAGATATTCAGATCACAGCATGGTCCTAACCCCCAGTACCCAGAAAGTGACTGAATTTGGAGATAGGATCTTTAAAGAGGTAATTAAGGTAGTTAAGGTCAAATGGGGGTGTATGACTGGTGTCCTCTATAGGAAGAGGAAATTAGGACATGGCCATGCACAGAGTAAAGACCATGTGAAGACACAGGGAGAAGATGACCATCTACAGACCAAGGAGAGAGACCTCAAAAGATATCAGCCCTGTTGACACACCTCTAACCACAGAACTGTGTAAAAATAAATGTCTGTTGTTTAAGCCGCCCAGTCTGTGGTAAGACTAATAGACCATCTTTTAATATTTATGAACGTGACAGGCCCTGGTCTAGGTTTTGGGTGTGATTCAAACAGTGACAAAAACAGACAAAAAAATCTCTGCCCTTAGAGAGCTCACATTCCGTTGAGGGGAGCCACATGTTAAGTGTCTAAGCCAAATGTCTAGTGTGATGAAAATGGAACTTAGCTCTGATTGTTAATGGTTGTTGACGTGGGATTAAGAGAAACACCAAGCTTCTTTTGACTCATTAGTAGAATGGTTTTGGTCTTTGTTCTTCTAGCATCAACACCTTTCCATTGGACAGTGGTTATTATCTTAACATAATGTTAAAAAAACATAGATTTTTAATATATGATCTCTTTGTCCCAGGAATTGAAATACTTTATGGGTAAACCTAAATTATTTGATAAGAAAATCTTAATGTAGGCTGGGTGCTGTGGCTTATGCCTATAATCCTAGCACTTGGAGATGCCGAGGTGGACAAATTGCTTGAGCTCGGGTTCAGGACCAGCCTGGGCAACATGGTGAAACCCCGTTTCTAAAAAAATACAAAGACTGGGTGCAATGGCTCATGCCTGTAATCCCAGCACTTTGGGAGGCTGAGGTGGGCGGATCACTTGAGGTCAGGAGTTCAAGACCAGCCTGGCCAACATGGTGAAATCCCATCTCCACTAAAAATACAAAAATTAGCTGGGCGTGATGGAGCATACTTGTAATCCCAGCTACTTGGGAGGCTGAGGCAGGAGAATCGCTTGAACCCAGGAGGCGGAGGTTGCAGTGAGCCGAGATCATGCCATTGGACTCCAGCCTGGGTGACAAGAGCGAAATTCTGTCTCAAAAAAAAAAAAAAAAAAAAAAAGAAAAAATAATTGGGCATGGTAACACACACCTATAGTCCCAGCTACTTGGAGGCTGAGGTAGGAAGATCGCTTGAGCCTGGGAGGTGGAAGTTGTAGTGAGCTGAGATCATGCCACTGCACTTCCAGCCTGGGTGACAGAGCAAGACCCTGTCTCAAAAACAGAAAAACAAAAAAACAAACAAAAAAAACACCCTAGAAAATTTTAATGTAAATTTCCAGGTGGATAAGTTAGATGTGCTAGATTATAGGTTAAATTTCGTTGTTGTTGTAATAATGTCTTTACCTTATAATTCAATGGCTATCCTTTAAATGAGAAATCTCCAGTTGCATTTAAAATATAATTTGACTTACAAAAATTGTTTTATATACAGCTTTAATGCCTGTACTTCGCATATAACATGAGGCATGTTTCTTTTTGTTTTTTTTTTTTTTTTTGCGACGTAGTCTTAACTCTCTTGCCCAGGCTGGAATGCAGTGGTGCAATATTGGCTCACTGCAACTGCCGCTTTCCCCCGGGGTTCAAGCGATTCTCCTGCCTCAGCCACCTGAGTAGCTGAGATTACAGGCACCTGCCACAGTGCCCGGGTAATTTTTTGTGTTTTTTTTTAGTAGAGATGTGGTTTCGCCATTTTGGCCAGGCTGGTCTTGAACTCCTGACCATGTAATCCACACGCCTCCGCCTCCTAAAGTGCTGAGATTACAGGCGTGAACTACTGCACCTGGCCACATGAGGCATATTTCTATTGATGTTAATATGTATGCTTCTCTTGGTAGATAGACAAGAACTAGAGGTGACGGTCTTATTTCACAGGTGAAATAGGCTAAATTAGCATGTTAGAGCCACTGCCTGGCTTGGTTTAATTTCTGTGATTTCCTGGTGTTTTCATTTTAAACTCAATTTGCTAAAAATTCTTAGATCTTGCTATTTGATTTTGAAGTATTCCTTTAGGAAATGGTAATTAAAAATTAATTACTTTCTTTGAGAATTTACACACAAAGTGCATTGCCACTTTTTTTGAGCATTAGTAGTTTCTAAAATAGTCTCAAGAAATTGAAAGGATGTAGGATTTAGTTGTGAAATGTTTTCACGATATTGTATATTTAAAGATACTTCTGTAGCTCCATTTTATAATAAAATGGAAGCATCAGTACTCAAAATTAGGGAATTATAAATTAGCAGTAAAGTCCGTGTTTCACTGCGTCACTTGGGAAGGCAGCTGTTTTGAGGTCTCTGTGTGGTATAGTAATTGAGAAAGAGAGTTCAGAATGTACCGTGTTTCATAATTGACGATCCTGATGGGGCGGGCAGTGTGGCGCTCCAGAGCTGCAGTGCTGTGGTGGGCAGAAGGAGGTTTCTCTTTTAATGATATATCCTAAATAAAGAAGCAAAGGGGAAGTGCCGTACAAATGCTGTGATTAAATAACTATTAGAGTGGAGCCAGCCCCTCCACCATGTGCTGGATTTCATCGCCACTTGCCCACGCAGAAGCTTTTCTCCTGAAATTATCCCCTTGCTCTCAGGCAGCCTCTGTTTTTTTCCTCCTTACTCCATCATTTTCATCAGCTTATAATATGCTCTCCCATTTTTCATTTAAAAAATCTTCTTTTGACTCCATGTCCCCCTCAGTCCAGTATCTCGTTTTTCTGCTGTATCCCAAATGTGCCACAAAAGATGTGTTTAGTTTTTACAATATATGGTAAAAGATTATTTCATTCTTCACAAGATTTTCACTGAAGCAGGTAGATGACCTAAGAAAAAATTTAACGGAGCAGATACCTGAAACTACTTTTTTTTTTTTTTTTTTTGAGACGGAGTCGTGCTCTGTCGCCCAGGCTGGAGTGCGGTGGCGCAATCTCGGCTCACTGCAAGCTCTGCCTCCCGGGTTCACGCCATTCTCCTGCCTCAGCCTCCTGAGTAGCTGGGACTACAGGCGCCCGCCACCATGCCCTGTTAAATTTTTGTAATTTTAGTAGAGACGGGGTTTCACCGTGTTATCCAGGATGGTCTCGATGTCCTGACCTCGTGATCCACCCGCCTTGGCCTCCCAAAGTGCTGGGATTGCAGGCATGAGCCACTGCGCCCGGCCACCTGAAACTACTTTTATGAACCAGCTTGTCATTGAGGAGTAAATTGGTTATTTGGTTATTAGCTTGGCTATTTACTCATATTCCTAGTCTGAGAGGGTAGATTCTTAAAGACCTATTACCTGTTAGCTGTATTAAGAGTTGTTCTTAATTTAGGTAGTTGCATTTATATGAGTTTAATTATTTTTTATTGATCTGAGATTCACATATTGTTAACCATTTTAAAGTGAACAATCGAGAGACATTTAGTACATTGACAGTATTGTGCAACTACCATCTCTACCTAATTAAATTGTTTTTTTTTTGAGCTGGAGTTTCGCTCTTGTTGCCCATGCTGGAGTGCAATGGCACAATCTCGCCTCACTGCAGTCTCCGCCTCCCAGCTTCAAGTGATTCTCCTGCCTCAGCCTCTTGAGTAGTCGGGATTACAGGCGCCCACCACGACGCCTGGCTAATTTTTGTATTTTTAGTAGAGACGGGGTTTCACCACGTTGGCCAGGCTGGTCTCGAACTCCTGACCTCAGGCGATCCACCCACCTCGGCCTCCAAAAGTGCTGGAATTACAGGCATGAGCCACTATGCCCAGCCTGAAAATCACCCCAAAAGGATACCCTGTTTTCATTGAGTAGTTGCTCTCTTTCTGCCTCCCCATAGCCCCTGGCAACCACTCTTGCATTCTGTCTCTGTAGATTTACCTACTCTGGATATTTCATATAAATGGAATCATAGAATTAATATGTGACCTTTGGTGTCTGACTCCTTTCACTGAGCATAATGTTTTTAAGGTTCATCCACCTTGTAGTGTGTATCATGACTTCGTTCCTTTTTATGGTGGAATAATACTCTGTTGTGTTGATGCATCATATTTTGTTTATCCATTCATCGTTTGTCGGACATTTAGGTTGTTTCCACCTTTTGGCTATCATGAGTAATGCTGTTGTGAACATGCTGGTACATGCATTTGTTTATCTGTTTTTAATTCTTTTGGGTGTATACCTAGGAATAGAATTGATGGGTCATATGGTAACTCTGCTTAACATTTAAGAGCTGTCAGACTTTTCCATAGCAGCTGAATCATATTACTTTTTGCCGACACTGTATGAATGTTCCCGTTTCTTGCATCCTTGCTGACTCTTTATTTCTGTGTTGTAGTCATCCTGGTGGATGTGAAGTGGGGGTACTTCATTGTGGTTTCGATTTGCATTTCCTAAATGATCACGTACTTACTGGCCATTTGTAAATCTTTGGAGAAATGTCTATATGAGTCCTTTGTCCAGTTTTTAATTGATCTGTTTGTGTCTATTCCTTGTAGAGTTGTAAAGGTTTTCTATATGTTGTAGATACTTGGGATGATATTGAATCTATAGATCAGTTTGGTAAGAATTGCCATCTTAACACTATTGAGTTTTCAATATCATGAATATCTCTCCATTTATTCAGGTCTTATTTAATTTTTCAGTTGTGTTCCTATTTAGTAGATGGCTTGTGTTTAGCCACAGATATTATTGGAAGGATATTATTTAGGCAAGAAGGAAAATGGAAAGGAAGTAATATTTCTCATCACCTTGAAAATGGCAGCTAGTGAAATGACTGAATTTTAGTTGGAATTCAACAATGAAATTTGGATTCAGCAGTGAAACTTAGAAAAAATTTTATGGTGTGTTAGTTCAAACCTAATACAAATAATCTTTTAAATAAAAGTATTCTGGTTCCTAACAAAGCGCCTGTACTCTTTTGACTCTTTTTCTGTGAGAACTTTATTCTAGGTAGGTTTTTTAGCAGGGTATGTGTGCCAGTTTTTTGTTACCACACTTGAGGTAAGAACTGTAATTACATTGTCAAAATAATATTTAGAGTATTATTTTCAGGGAATAATTGCAGTGGTGTGACGAATATATTATGCTCATCAAATTTTATGTAAACACAAGCATGAGTTACTTTAATTGAGTTATTGGTGTTGTTTTTGGCCTTTATTCTTTCTTAATCTGTAAAAATAATGTTGGGATTTTTGAGGGTCTTCATAATATTTGCAGTATTTACATAAAGATCAGTTGATAAGCTGTTTGGTAAAGTAAACTGTCATTTGTACCTGTCTGGAGTTTTCTTTTCTTGTGTCTGGGACATCCTTAAGCCTTTTCCTTTTCAGAATTGTGTTCTGATCCCGAGCATTAATCTTAGGTGCCTGATGAGTTGTTGGGTCAGTTGGTTGTCAGATCAACCTATACTGTTGGCTTTTTGCATGTTAAGTTTTACACAGATTTGAGTGTTAATATTCCAAAATATTCAGTAGAAATCTTTTTTTTTTTTTGAGATGGAGTCTCTGGGTCTGTCTCCCAGGCTGGATGCAGTGGCTTGATCTCGGCTCACTGGAACCTCTGCCTCCTGGGTTCAAGCAGTTCTCCCTGCCTCAGCCTCCTAAGTCGCTGGGATTACAGGCTCCTGCCACCACGTCCAGCTAATTTTTGTATTTTTAGTAGCGACGGGGTTTCACCATGTTGGTCAGGCTGGTCTCTAACTCCTGACCTCAGGTGATCCGCTCCCCCCTCCGCACCCTGTCTTCCCAAAGTGCTGGGATTACAGATATGAGCCTCTGCACCCAGGCAATAAGTTAATTAATTTTGTATGTAGAGTATATTGTTTTGGTAAGGCATGTTAATTTTTTTTTTTTTTTTTTTTGAGACAGAGTCTCACTCTGTCTCCCAGGCTGGAGTGCAGTGGCATTGCACCCAGGCAATAAGTTAATCAATTTTGTATGTAGAGTATATTGTTTTGGTAAGGCATGTTAATTTTTTTTTTTTTTTTTTTTTGAGACAGTGTCTCACTCTGTCTCCCAGGCTGGAGTGCAGTGGCATGATCTCGGCCCACTGCAACCTCTGCCTCCCAGATTCAGGCAATTCTCATGCCTCAGCCTCCTGAGTAATTTTTTGTACTTTTAGTAAAGATGGGGTTTCAGCATATTGGCCAGGCTGGTCTCCAACTCCTGGCCTCAAGTGATCCACCTGCCTTGGCCTCCCAAAGTACTGGGATTGCAGGCGTGAGCCACCGCGCCCAGCCATGGTATATTCATGTTATTCCCAAAGTGACCTTGTGGAGAGAGACCTTAATTTTTACAAGAAGCAAGCAGAAACTTTCTGTTTAATAACATGGAGAATATTTCTTAAGATGTATTTATTTATTATGTTTAATCATTTATTTATTTATTTTAAACTTTTATATATTCTTAGCTTTTCGCTGTGGCCTGCAGTTTTTAGGCAACATTGCCTCACGGAATGAAGATTCCCAGTCTATTGTTTGGGTACATGCTTTCCCAGAACTGTTTTTGTGAGTATATTGATAAGAATGTTTCTAACTTGTGAGAAGATTGTGGTTATATTTTTCCATTTTATATAAAGTTCGAAAAGTAACCCTCTGTAATAGAGTTCAGGATAGTAGTTGTTCTTGGTGGGTGGGTGCCAGCTGGGAGAGGGCACTAGGAAAACACCTGGGTCCTGGAAGTGTTCGTCTATATCTTGACCTTAGTGGTGGTTACATGGATGTGTACATATCCAAACTTTGTTCATTGAGCTGTATGTACACTTAAGATTTGTGCCCTTGCTTGTATATCAGTTTACTTTTATGAAAATAAAAGTCGTGGATAAAGTAAGTAATATTGTTAAGGACACTGAAATTTATAAGAAACACAATTAAAATAAAACATCAAAATATGGGCAGTGAATTAAAATTCTTTATGTATTGAATACTGATATGTTCAGCACAATGCTGTATGTTTTGGAAGGTAAGAGGAAGATGTGGGTAAACAATCAGTTTATCCATGTAAGAAATGGGTAACCAGTCCGTTTATCAGTGTAAGAAGTGGGTAACCATTCCATTTATCTGGATTGGATCCTGGTACTTTTTCTGGTGATTCTACTTCTTAAAAACCAGCTCTGTACATAAGAAATTGAGCATTGAGGTAAAAGGTGAGTAGGCAATAGAGTCAATATACCGTATGAAAGGCACAGTCTGGGAGTGGGAGGCCTGGCTTCGAATCCAGGCTTTGGTGCCAATGAATGGGGTAACTCTGGTGGTTGCAACAGTATGAGCAGCACAGCAGGGCAGCAGCTGTTGTGTACCTACCCTGAACTGGGCATTATCCGTATATTTTATGTTCTCACAATAGCCTGCAGAGTAAGTGTTACTGTCTTCCCATCTGGACAGATGAGAGACCTGAAGCTTATCACTGGTAAATGGCAGAGCTAGAGTTTAAACCCATTGCTGCCATCTGAATCCAAAGCCTATGCTCATTGTAAACACTGTGCTGCTGAAATTCTGTGCTGGCCTTCCTGGTTGTACAGCTTTCCTGGGCTCCTCCGTGAAGTTTAGTGTTAAGATTGGATAAACTCTAATTCACTTCTAGCTCATGGAATTTCTCAAATTCCTGCAAATAATTAAAAGTTGAAGGTGTATATATATTCATGCTATATATATATTAATGATATTTGAGCTTAGGTGGAAGAAGAGAATTATGAAATTCAAGCTACAGAAACAGACATTGCTTATTTTTGAGAATTTATTCCCTTAAAACATTTTGGACACCTAATATCTGCCAGGTTGTGGGATAGATGATTAGAATACGGTGGTAACTTATATATTCGTTATTCTTGAAGATTTCATTCTTTGGTCAGGGAAATAAAGGAACAGGCACATACGTTGTGATGTAAGAACTAAGGTAATGAGGGTAAATCCAGGGTGTAATGGAAAAACAAGGGAGAGGCTTAAGTGTAGGACAGTCAGAGAAGTCTTAATAGTTTACATGTTGCTTTTAGATCTCATTTGATCATCATAAAAATCCTATGAAATAGAGAAGGTTTTGTTACTGTATTTTATTTTTTATACCAGAAAACAAGCTAAGAGAGGTTCTTTGCCTTCACTCTTTATGCATTTATGGGACAGATATAACCAAATTTGAATTCCAGTTTTGTCAGGTGCTGGCTTTGTGCTATTGGCCGAGTGAAGCTAACAAATTCTTTATCTGAAATATATGAATAATATCTCCTTAAGAAGAGTATTATGACGTTTAAATGAAAAGCAAAATCCTACCATATTGCGTAACACATGATATAATTGGCAATCAATATGTCAGTGACCTTCCCCAGGCCACCTGGCTGATAGCTAGAGGAGCTAGGAGTTATAGCGAGGCTCCTGACTCCAAATTCTATTTCTTGCTCCGCTGTACCATCTCTCCCATAGGCATCTTGTCCCTAAGGACTATTAAAGCAGTGTCAGCAGTCATTGAGGTATCATTTTGTACCTGTTGATTTTTTTCTAACAAGAATGAACATTTTAATGTTTTATAAATGTAATCATTTTAATCTTTATTGCTAATAGTAAGTTACTTGCTTTTTGCCTTCTGAGTTCTATGTCAACTTCAACTTTAGTATTTTGGATACTTTTTATTGTGACTAAGTTTGTATTTACTATTTTTACAGTAAATAATTACTTATTTTTAAGTGCTATAATTCTCCCTTAAATCCTCAAAAGTATTAGTATGTAGTGAATTTGCCAATGGTATTACTGTTATTTTTGTGTTTTATTTTATCACGTTATTAAATTGGGCTAACAGTCTCATTTCCTTGTTTGGAAGGTCTTGCTTAAATCATCCGGACAAAAAAATTGTTGCCTACTCTTCAATGATTTTGTTTACATCCCTTAATCATGAAAGAATGAAAGAACTGGAAGAAAACCTCAATATTGCAATTGATGTCATAGATGCTTACCAAAAACATCCTGAATCAGAATGGCCGTAAGTATCTTGTTAGAAATTTGATTGCTTTAGGACATCCTGACAGATCACTTTCCTTGCAGAGGTTTTAAGTAAAAATTTGGGCATTGTGATAGTTGAACAATAAGTTAAAACTTAACGTGTTGACAAAATTAGAAAAGGTTTTGAGCAGAATCTAGAGAACTTGTGAAAGAGGTGAATAAAGTGAAGCTTGAGTTGAGTCTTTAAGAACAAAGAGAATTCTTTAAGGTGGTGAGGAGCGGGAAAGACATTGTTGGTGTATGAAAAAACAGTGTGAAATGCCCTGGCACCTTTGGAGTGTACAGATCAGACTGTTGTGGCTGCAGAAGCTAGTTCATTAGATCAGAGGTTGATGCGAGCCTTGTGAGCATCTGTGCAGATGAGATAGTCACTGCCATTCAAATTGCCGCCCATACATAATGTACTGCCACCCTTCGTAGATAATGTATTATTTCTCTCTGATTGCTTTTAAGATTTTTCTTTGTCTTTTCAGAGGTTAATTATGGTATTGGCTTAGATTTCTTTGGGTTTACTCTTTTTGGGGTCTCCTCAACTTCTTGAATCAGTAGATTTATGTCTTTTACCAAGTTGGGGAAGTTAAGTTGGGAAATTTTAGCTGTTATTTGTTTGAATACTTTTTTTCAGGCCCTTGTTCTCTCTCTACTTCTTCTGGGACTCCATGTTTTAGGCACACACATAGTCAAAGGCAGGGCCAAGGCTATGGCTCAACTGATGGGACTGTGAAAGTAATACAAATTACAACAGTCTACTTTTAGCTTTAGACAGTTTGTTACTATATAGACAGAGAAAAGAAGCCAAAGGGGCCAGCTCCTCCTGATCCTTGTCCCAGATACCACAAAGACCTGGATGATTAAGATATGAATTGTGAGGTACCGCATTCCTGAGGAGCCCTTCTTGGCTGTTAAAAGGCTTTATATGCTAAGAGGGGCGGGGCAGAAAGCTCTGTACCTCATTAGTGCAAAACTCATCAGAACCTGTCTCATGACAGCCTCCCTTGGGAGACAGAAGAGCAAAAAGGAGACAGCCTCAGAAGCCTCAGGCCTCCCATCTCGGGTTCCGGGAGGATCACAAGGTAGTCAGCAGGCAAGACTCAGATTAGCCGCTGTTCAAGCTCTGGCATGCATGGTATGCATGGATATGTCCAAGGTCACCAGGGCGCTATATGGAGCTGTTCCCCTAGACTCTGAAGATACAAGTGTTAGTCTTCTGTTGTTGTTTTGCAAGTCCCTGAAGCTCTCTTCAGTGTTGTGTGTTTTTTTTTTCCTCCAGTCCATTTTCTCTCTTTGCCAGTACTATGGTGTCTTGATTACCGTAATTTTATAGTAAATTTTGAAATCAGGAAGTGTGAGTCTTCCAACTTTGTTCTTTTTCAGTTTTTTTTTCGTTGTTGTTCTGGGTCCCTTGTGTTTCCATATTAATTTTAGGATCAACTTTTCCATTTGTTAATTTTAAAAAGCTGGAATTTTGATAAGAATTACATGAATCTATAGACCAACTTGGGGGAATATTGCCATCTTACCTAGATTAAGTGTTCCAATCCATGAATAAAGGATATTCATCTATTTATTTAGGCCTTTGAAATTTTCTTCAGTTATGTTTTATAGTTTTTAGTCTATGAGTTTTGGATGTTGTTAGTTCAACTTATTCTAAGTATTTTATTCTTTTTGATGGTATTGCAAATGGAATCCTTTGATTTTTGGATTATTCATTGCTAATGTGTAGAAATACAACTGATTTTTGTATATTAATCTTGTATCCTGCGATCTTTCATGCTGATCTTATTTATAGTTTTAGTAGAGTTTTTTGTGTATGTAATTCTTAGGATTTTCTCTGTACAGGACCATGCCATTTGCAAGTAGATAATACTTTTTTCTTTCCAGTTGGGTTGCCTTTTCTTTCTTTCCTTGCCTAGTTGCCCTGACTGGAAATTCCAATACAATGTTGAGTAGAATTGGTGAGAGCAGACATATGTGTCCTGTTTAAGATCTTAGTGGGGAAGTGTTCAGTCTTTCAGTGTGTTGTTGCCTGTGGGGTTTTCATAGAAGGCCTTGCTCAGGATGATAAACTTTTCTTCTACTTCTGCTGATTTTCTTTTACTTGTTGAATGTTTTTATTATGAAAGTCTATTTCATCAAATACATTTTGTGTCTGTTGAGATAATCATATGGCTTGTGTCTTTTAGTCTATTAATACTTTGTCTAACAGTGATTTTTATACTTTAAATCAACTTTGGATTCCTGAGGTAAATCCCACTTGTTCATCGTGTATAATCCTTTTTATATGTTGCTGGATTTCTTTTATATTTTGTTGGGGATTTTTGTGTGTATATTCATAAGGCATATTGGTTTGTAGTTTGTTTTCTTTTTGTGATTTCTTTGTCTAATTTTGGTATCAGGTAAATACTGACTTTACAGAAAGAGGTTTTTTTTGTTTTGTTTTTGGAAGATTGTAAAGGATCAGTATTAATCTTTAAATATGTGGTAGAATTCACTGGTGAAGCCATCTGGTTTTGGACTTTTTATTATGGGAAGTGTTTTTGGTTACTAATTCAATCCCTACTTGTCTTGTTTTTTTTTTTGTTGTTGTTGAAACAGAGTCTTACTCTGTTGCCCAGGCTGGAGTGCAGTGGCGTGATCTCGGCTCACTGCAACATCCGCCTCTTGGGTTCAAGCAATTCTCTGACTCAGCCTCCTAAATAGCTGGGATTGCAGGCACCTGCCACCACGCCCAGCTAATTTTTTTTTTTTTTTTGTATTTTTAGTAGAGACGGGGTTTCACCATCTTGGCCAGGTTGGTATTGAACTCCTAAGCCCGTGATCCACCTGCCTCAGCCTCCCAAAGTGCTGGGATTACAGGCATGAGCCACCGTGCCCGGCCCCTACTCGTTACATACAGGTCTATTCAGATTGTTGTCTTCTTGGGTTGGTTTTGGTAGTTTGTGTCTTTCTAGGAATTTGCCTGTTTGGTCTAGGGCAGGGGTCTTCCAGCCTCCAACCTGTGGACTAGTACCTGTCCATAGCCTGTTAGAAACAGGGTCACACAGCACAAGGTAAGCAGCAGGTGAGCGAGCATTCCTGCCTGAGCTCCACCTCTTGTCAGATCATCAGCCACATTCGATTCTCATAGGAGCACAAACCCTATTGTGAACTGTGCATGTGAGGGATCTAGGTCACACACTCCTTATGAGAATCTGTTATAACTAATGCCTAATGACCTGAGGTAGAACAGTTTCATCCTGAAACCATCCCCCCACCCCTGTCTATGGAAAAATTGTCTTTCATGAAACCAGTTCCTGGTGCCAAAAAGGTTGGGGACCACTGGTCTAGGCTATCTAATTTGTTGGCACAAATTGTTCATAGTAGTAGTAGACCCTTAGAATCTTTTTTATTTATGTAAGATTGGTAGGAATGTCCCCTCTTCATTACTGATTTTAGTAATTTGAGTCTTCTCTTTTTTCTTGTTCACTATAGCTAAAGGTTTGTTAGAGTTTTTGCTCTTTTCAGAGAGCCAACTTTTGGTTTTGTTGATTTTCTTTACTGTTATTCTCTATTTCATTTCTTTTTGCTGTAATCTTTATTATATTCTTTCTTCTGCTTGCTTTGGGTTTGGTTTGCTCTTTTTCTAGTTTCTCGAGATGGAAGGTTAGGTTCCTGACATGAGATCCTCCGTCTTTTTTTACTTTTCTACAAAGTTCCTGGTAAGAACTGCTTTAGCATCCCATAATTTAGTGTTCCATAAATTTTGGTGTTTGTGATTTTATTTTCATCTATTTCAAATTATAGTCTAATTTCCCTTATGACTTATTGGTTATTTGGGAGTTTGTTGTTTAATTTCCACATATTTGTGTATTTCCTAAATTTCCTTTTGTTATGGTTTTCTAATTTTATTTCATGTGGCCAGAGAACACACTTTATATGATTTCATTCTTTTTGACATTACTGAGGCATCTTTTATGGCCTGACCTATAGTCTATCATAGAGAATGTTCCATGTAGACTTGAATGTGTATGCTGCTGGTTTTGGTGGCATGTTCTGTAGATACCTGTTGGGTCTGGTTGGCTAGATGGTTGATAGTGTTGTTTAAATCTTCTATTTCCTTGCTGATCTTCTGTTTTAGTTCTTTTCATTATTGAAAGTGAATTATCATCCATTTTCTCCTTTAGTTCTGTCAGTTTTTGCTTCCCTTATTTCCATGCTCTGTTAAGTACATACATACACGTTTATATTTATGATTGTTATGCCTTTTTGATGCATTGACCCTTTCTCATTACAAAATTTATCACAAATTTTGTTGTTTATATTTTAATAATCTCCCGTTTTTTAAAAAATCTATTTTTAACATGTTTTGCACATAGTAGTCAGTGTGTGATTAGGCCACAGATTTTCTCCAGGGAGTAAGCCTTGAGGCACCTGTAATCCCACTTGCATTCATAGGTGAGGTATGAGCTTTTTCAGTTTTGGCTTCTTTCAGTGTAATCTTTTATCATTCTGTTGAAATTATACCTAATTTTGAAATTATTTCTTTTTCTGAATATTCATTTGTATTTCAGTTAAAATTTGCAAACAGAGGTTGGTACATACAATAATATGATGTGTTGACTTAGAAAACTTCCCTTTGTATGCAAATGTAACATGACAGGATCGATCATTAGAGTCAGCTTATTTAGAGAAATTTTCTGTAGCTGAGTTCTGTTTTATTTGTTGAGTACCTTGGGTCTGTATTTTAATCATCTGCAGTTTTTTTTTTTTTTTTTTTTTTTTTTTTTTTTTTGTCTTGGAATAAAGGGCAAAAGGTCATAAAGGGCAAAATATAAAATCTGTTAATAGCTCAAGTTAAAGTTATCAGAGACCACTACAAGGAATTCAGAAAGGAACAAAGGATGGATGTAGTAGTGGTTAAAAGATCACTTATGCAGTCCAGGTGCGGAATACTTTGATTTGTGTGAGAGGAACTCTACATTTGGTAACGAGCAATGAGAT